ATTGTAATAATGGTAAAATTAATAAGCAAATACAAAATGTTACAGTAATAATTGATGGTGATGATGATGTTTACAGCAATAAGTTATGATAAAAATAATATTAATGTCAGTGATAATAATAGTAACAATTAGTGGTTAATAACTAATAATTAATAATTAATTGATAATATTGACAATAATGATTAGTAATTAATTAATTGATTAATGAGTAATAATAATAATAATAACGGTGATTAATAATTAATTAATCAATAATAGTAATAATAATAATAATAATAATAATAATTATTATTATTATTATTATTATTATTATTATTATTATTATTATTATTATATTATAATTATAATTATAATAGCGATGATTAATAATTAATTAATCAATAATAGTAATAATAATAATAATAATAATGATAATAATAATAATAACGATAATAATAATAAGTAAATAAGAAATATCGTTTCCTAAATGTCAATTCAATACAATGTCCCTTTATACCAAATAACTGACCGAAAAAAAGAGCTAAAATAAAGAAAATCGTAAAATTTAAAAAGTTTAAAAGAAAATAAATGAAATTCATCACTTCTATCATGTAAACATTTTAATTAACTTAATTATAATATATAGTAAAGCATAATAATTATGATAAATTAGAATGGGATAAAAATTGTTTAAATCATTCATTATGATAACATTTTTAACTGCTACTATTGTTTGTATCATCCTTTGTTCCTATTCTCTTATCAATCAGTTTTTGTTAATTGGCATACTTTCTTACAATCATTTATCATTTTGTACAATTCTTTCTTATCATCACATCTAACAAACATTTATCAACATTCTTTTTCATAATTATCATACGATAAATTTTATTATAAAAATAAAATTTTTCCTTCAACCTATCTTTTCCTTTTTTTTTCTTTAAAAATATTCAGAATTGTTAAAACCGGATAATTCATTAAATAAATTAATGGGACAATGTAAATTTAAAATTTTCTTTTTTTGTTTATACGCTCAAAAAAAAGAAAGAAACGAAAAGGAAGAGGAAAAAAAAGAAGGAGAAAAAGGCAAAAAAGACAAAAGAAATACAAATACAAATACGATTAATCAAACTAAGGATAATTTTTTAATTTAATTTTAATCTATTTTAATTAAAAGAAGTTTTTAGTTAAATTAAGAATAGTTTGATTGGAGGGAAGGAAAAAGGAATATAATTTCAAGAATAGATCATAATTTACTTGAATACATTTTTTCGTTAATAAAATCATACCATTTCATCACTTATATAGGAAAGGGAATTATTTCGGAAAGGAATCCGGAAAACGTTTTAGCTTTATAATATTCCGGATTATATGTTATAATGAAAATTGATATATACTTATGGGTATATTAAATGGAAGAAAATGTATAAACGTTGAAAAATAGCAGATAAGACGAGGATGAAGAAGAAGAAGAAAGATGAAGATAGTATGATGACAAAATGGAATGGAAGTTTAGATTGTTTTCATTTTTTTTTTTTCAAAAAGAAGAAAACCTGTTTTTGGCATACCAATGTATGTGACAGATTATCGTTCTTCTTTTACATCAACAAATTCACAGATAAATTTCAAATTTAACAATTCGTTTCCTTGATCTCTTTTTTTTATCATACAATAAATGCTACTCTATCATTCATTATCATTTGATATAATTATTATCCATATTCTTCTTCATCATCATCATCTTATTTTAAAATTATT